AAATTTGCATTGAGAAAAGAATGTTGGGAAATGAGTTTCATGAAATGGTTTTGGGGTAAATACGGTGGTAAGTCTTGATAGGTGATGTAGATGAAATTGTTTAAGTTGGTTTGAGTGTCCTTGGTGAAAGTCTAGAAAGTCGCGCGGATAGGTGTCGAGTCTTCCGGTTAATACCGATAAAAATGACAATTGGTAGTACTCGTATAGTCTACTTGCAGACACCGACCTAGGGATTACCAGAGTTGTATTTACCGTCCCTTGAATTAAATTGATAAATTTTGAATAGTTGAAGTTGCATAACATCATTGAGCATGATGGTTTTCAAAAGATGAAGATGTGTTTTATTTTCAAAAAGGCATGGCATGGCCTGTGCATTCATCTCTTGAGACTTGTATAAAATGTGTATACTTTGTTAAGGATTTCCTACTGGGCTTTATGCTCACCCTACCAGATTTTTGTGCAGGAAAAGACGTGGTGAATCTGCCTAATTGAGGGCGTGGAAGTGTGTGTGTTGAGAGCACTAAAGTTCTCCTTTGCTGTGATCCTATTTGAAAGCCAAGGGCTATGTATGTGTAGGTTTGAATAACCATTTTGTGTAACCGGGCTTAAGCCTTGGAAGATTGTAAACCCTTGAGGGTGCTTATTTGGTTATTTACTTGTTGAATCAATGTCATATGAGGAACTATTATTATTATGTAATACAAGTATGAGAAGTTATATTTGGTTTTCCTTTAAAAGAGCCATGATTGTTGCATTATCATTAGGGGTGTAATTTAGGCCTTGCCCGGCCCGGCCCGGCCTATCCGGGCTCGTATCGGGCCGGGCCCATGTCGGGCCTTGCGGGCTCCAACCAAAAAATTGGGCCAGGCCAAGCCGGTTCACGGGCCAAAAAACTAGGCCCAGGCCCAAGCACAAGCCCAGGAGTATTCGGGCTTTGAGCGGGCCAGTGGGCCGGGCCCTAGGCTTGGGACTGGGCTCAAGCTTTGGGCGGGCCTAAACATTTTTTTTATTTTTTCCACCAAAATTTTATTATTTTCCATTAAAAATAACACTGGGCATTGGGTGGACTGGACGGGCCGGGCTTTTGGGCAGGCCTTGAGTGGGCTAATGGGCCGGGCCGCGGGCCAGGCCAGGCTTCAAAACGATGGCCCAAGGCCTCGGGCTGGGCTTGGGCTCAGGCCTAAATGGGCTAGGCCCACCTCGGGCCGCCCGCGGACCATAGGCCAAAATTACACCATTATTTATCATTTGGGCTAGAAATTTGGGGCGTTACATACACAATTTGTATTGACATAGATAGAGAGGTCTATACAATGTAATTGATAATTTGTTAATGTTTTCCTTATTTATTTTCTTTGCAGATTGGTTTTTGATGACGTTTGGAAGCATACTTGCAAATCAAGATCAAGTGTTGATTTTTTTTGTGGACTCCACGTTAGTTCATTTTGGGATTTGCTATGATGATTTTTTTGTTATACTTGATGGATTATTATTAAATTTGTTTGATGGATATATTTTCATTTATAATATAAATTGTTTAGTGAATTTTTTTTGTGGAGTGGTGTATAATAGCTAGTGGATTTCTTAGTACATTTAAAAGGCTATTGGGATATGAGCAGGGATATTTATGAAATAATAATTTAAATTGAAATATAAAATATGGAGCAAGTTTAGTGACGAATTTTTTTCATCATTTGCACTTGTTATTATGACAAAGTGATTATTTGTCGCTAATAAATATTTTTTGTGACAAAATTTATTGCAACTTATATACGAAAGTTTTCATTGATTTTGTTGTTTGGTGACTAAAAATTTCGTCACGTATATATATTTCTACCACGAAATATATTTCGTCACCCATGTATGACTTTTGGAGACGAAAAATTTCGTCAACTTTACATCTTACTATGATGAAATTATTTCCTCATTAATGTGTAACAAATTTATTCGTCAACTAAAGTTATAAATATGGTATTGAATAACTATTTGGTGATGAAAATAAGGATTTTTTGCGACAAAATGTTGTTTTATTGGTGACAAAAAATTTCATCACTAAAGTAATTTCATTAGTGACTAAATTATTTTTCCTCACGACGCTTTTTAGTGACAAACATTCAATGATGAAACCAGTGAGGAAAATATTTCCTCACAAATATCTATAGTGACAAAATTAGCTTTTTGGAGACCAAAACAAAACCGTCATTCAAGACCCAACTTGTTGTATTATTTGGGGGGAGAAGAAATTTTAAGGGTTTTACAATTTATAAGTGAGGGTCTAAAGAAATGGAGGGTCCAAAATAATTGATGGGGTGCTAATGGTAACACTCATTTGCAATTCATATACTTAAAGGGGATTTAGTGTTGAGTTTTAAACATTGAGGACGTAAATTGCAAATCGATCTTAGTTGAGGGGGTTTTATTGTAATTTACCCATTTTGAAAAGATGAACAACAAATATAATTTTGAAAAGACTTGGTCACATGCATATACGAGTTTTCGGCACCCTCCCTTTACAAGTTAATTTTTAAGGAGCTGATAAAAAAAACACTCATACTTGTTATTAATATAATATTTGAGTAACAATCCCACATCAATTAATAAAAGGCTTAGGCCTCGTTTGGTATCCAACAATTTTAGTCTAAAAGTTAAAAAGTCACTAAAAAAATCAAAAAGTCTACCATTTTATCCTACAAACCTATCTACAATTTGAAATCATGTGTGTCTATAAAAGCCTACCATTATATCATTTTAGCCTAAAAATCTAATAGTACTGATGAGCATTTTTTCAAAATAAAAAAATGGTCAAGTCTTTTATGTTTTCCCAACAACCCACTAAGTCCCACAACCAAACGGCAAGCTGTTGCGTTAGCTCATCATTTCACCTACAAGTAAGTACAAATTCATGGTCAAAACTGTCAATTTACCTATTTTTTGATTTTATAAATTATTTCATTTCATTTTATTTATTTTTTTGTAAAAAGTTAAAATATTATTCCCAAACATACTTGTTTTTTTAATCTCATATTTTAATCAAAAAATTAAAAAGTTATTAAAATAATATGTTCCCAAACGAGGCCTTAGTCACTTGCATATAAGCATTCAAGTTAGTTTGAGTAAAAATCTTAAAAATTGGCCTTTTTCTTAAATCCCTTAAAAAGAAAGGCCAATTGATATCTTGAGTATGAGATTAGATGGACACAAAGCCCTAGAAGGAATATCATTAGATTAGTATCAACAGAGTGGCCCATCGTGGATGTCGATTGCACAGATTCATAACCTCACGTTATTTTTCACAATGAAACTTCATTTTTATGAGGTTCACAGATTGACAATCCAATCCTACTCTTCAAACCAGATAACAAGCAAGAGTTTTGGAAAAGCTAAAAGGTGAGACATTTTCCTATTGTCCTCCAGCATTCAACCACCTACAAATGGATAAAAGAGCTGCACAAAGTAAATTTGCAAATGGGTTCCATTATGTTTTCCATAACATTGCACAACAAGACATAATATTGAGTACCAAACCGGTATTCACTAAACCAGAACCGTAAGCATCCATTCCAGAGCTTTACATTACAACAAATGTTATTATTTACAGCTTTGCGTTTACAGCATGCATTAAATAAATGTTGTAATTAGTGTATTCTACGACATTTATTCTTGGCAAGTCGTTAATGCTTTGTAAAAAACGACGTACATACTATGTATGACATTGATTCATATATTTATGACATACAAAAATATGCCGTGAAAAACATATACTTTCACGGCTTGCAAAAATATGCCATGAAATGTTTATACTTAAGATGACATGTAGTTTACATCGTAACATGTCATAATTTTGCACGACATGCATTAGTATGTCGTGAAAACTCTTACTAGAAAAATTAAAAAAAATATATATTTATTTTCACTGTCAAAAAGTCATAATCTTATAAATTAGTAAGTGTTTGTTTGTTTGTTTTTTTTTTTATCAAATTATATTTTAATTATAAATGATAATAAAAAAACAATTATAGATGTTCTTAGATATTTATAAATTTCTACCTATATCTTTGTTAAGATTCATATATTGTGCTAGATTGTTTATACTGGGCTTTGGCTTAACCTATTTGGAGAAAACCATTTTCAAGGGTTGGTGATATGCCTCATCCAAGGTAGTAATTTGGAAGGCTTGGAAGCAAGAGCTTCTCTTTTTGGTTGTAATTATTTTGTATAGCCAAGGGCTTTAAATGTATTGGACCTAAAGTCCACTTTTGTTGTAACCAAGAACCTATCTTGGAAAGTTGTAAGCCTATAGGGCATTTATAATTGGTTTTGCTTCCAGTTTCTATCTCATGCTGTGATATATGCCGTAGATTCAAGAATAGACTCATGAATGTATAATTGCATGTCACTCTATTGTGTAACTAGATCTCATATAATGGAAGGACTTTATACTCTGATTCTTATTGTCATTACTTATTGTCTTGGTTGGTATATTGTTTTATTTCGGGGCGTTACATTAGGCATCCCTCAAAGTTCTTGCTTTCCATCAAACCAACTTCTTTTCATCCGAAATGGATGGTCGGGCACAAGAAATCGCCTGTGGCCCATGTACACAGTCTTTTTACTATTACTCAACCATTGTGAGCATGTGTCAGTGCTACATATTGGACAAGCAACTTTTCCCTTTATGGTGCATCCAGCTAAGTTTCCATAAGCTGGAAAATCATTTATTGTCCATATCAAAATAGCCTTCAAATTAAACATGGAGTTGTTGGCTGCATCATAAGCCATGACACCATTAGTCCATAATTCTATTAGGTCTTCTACAAGCAGCTCTAAATAAACATCTATGTTGTTGCCTGGTTGTTTTGGGCTGGTTGTTTTGGCCCTGGAATTAGTATTGTTAGGATGATATTTTCTTTTGCCATGCATAACCATAGGAGAAGGTTATATGTAACTATATCACTGGCAAAAGGACTAAACCCATCTATTGAAAGACCAAGTCTAAGATTTCATGGATCTGATGCAAAAGAAAACCACTTTTGATCGATTGATTCCCATGCCAATGAGTCAACTAGATGTCTCATCTTGCCATCTTGGCTTTTGTGAAAGGAATGCCACGTTAATTGCTTTGCCCTCTCTTGTGACTTGAACATCCTTTTAAATATTGGTATTATTGGAAAATATCGCAACACCTTCACAAGAACCCCATTTTTAATCTTCTTAGTGCGTTTATCTACATTCCAACGTGAACAATTGCATTTCGGACATGTCTCCTTAAGCTCTAAATCTTTTCTAAACAAACAACAATCATTTACATAAGCATGTATTTTCTCATATTCTAGATCAAAGGCTTTGAGCATCTTTTTTGCTGAATATACATATTTGACAAGTGTGTTATCTTCTGGTAGCATATCAGACACTATTTTAAGAAGTTCGTTAAAGCTTTCATCAGAATGATCATGTGCATCTTTATGCTTGTATAAAGCAACAATTGCTGAGAATTTAGTGTACTTTGTACACCCTGGATATAAAGGAGTTTCAACATCTTCTAATGATTGTGTAAATTCTCTCTCTTTACTTTCACTTGTAGACTCTGCAAAATCATCATTTTTTACATGCACGTCTCTTAACATCTTATATATATCTGAAATTTCAACATCTTCTTGATGTGATGATGCACTTAGTTGTTCCCCATGAAGGAACCAAGAAGTATATTTAGGATCCATCCCTTTCATGACCAACTGCTCGTACACAATCTCGCAAAATTGGTGAGATAGATTTTGACAATTTCTACATGGAAAAATGACCATTTCGGGATTCCCTACATTCGCCTTAGCTATATCTACGAATTTGCATGCTCCATCTAGATAATCCTTCAACACTCTAATGATTTTACATCAAAATTTATTATTCCAATAAAACGACCATATAAAAGCTTAAAAGTTATTGTGTTTGAGAAGAAGAAAAAAAAAACCTTGAAAGATGCACCCAAGATTTATCCATCTAGACCCAGATATGATTGTGTTCAAAGCTACATGTAATCTTTAGATCCAAACCCAAGTAAATGAGTCCACTTCCAATGAAAGAAGAGGGAAGCAAAAATTTAAAATAAGGGCACTACAATTTTATTTCTTGTCAACCAAACAAATAAATTAAATTATACAAACCAGACCAAACTCATGGGGCTATCTCCAAAACAAATAAATAAATAAAAAAACTAAAATTGGAGAATACAAATGATTTGGACAAACATGGGGCTGTCTCCAAAACTCATGATTTGCTTTGACAAAACCATTGTATATGGTGGTCTGAAGCAACTTCAATGCTCATTTAAAGTCATTTTCTTATTGTTATATGGAAAATATTCTCAATAAGAGGAGCAATTATTGGCTATTCTGTTTCGACATAACTGTTATGTTATGATTGATTTATATTAGTACTTTGCTTAACAACATGAAAGCGATAAAAAGGGAGAGGAGAAATTGAATTAATCAAATAAATTCAATAAAGTGCTACTTTGTTTTTTCATGCATAACTGAATAAGTTAATCGAATAAGGGATATAATTCAAGGCTCTCAACGAATTAATCGAATAGAAACTGAAGGAGTGACTTATTGTATTTCCTTGGTACAACTTCAAAACATATGACTTATTTTGAATTGTTTCAAGTGTCTTTTCGACTAAAAAACTTATAGAAAACAGTAGGTTAAAATAGAATTATTCAGCATATTATTAAAACAGAACACAAACTAGTTCGAGATTTATTGGAATTTTCTTCTGGAAATGTTACACAATATACTAGAGACTGATGGAGGGATTTCGTATTAGAATTTCATTAAATTACAAGGTAGAGAACTATTTTTAAAAATTCATCAAAGTCAGGCCTTTACACAATTTCAATTCTGCACAATCATGATAACTCACCCCCCAAATAGCTATGATTTTGCTTACTAAAGCCTCTTTTCATTCCATCTTGTACACATGATTTAAACTACATAAAAGATCAATAAATTCATGCCTGAAACAATTTAATAACAAATTAAAAATTGAATTGAAAAATTTACCGACTAAGTGTGTCGCCCCAAAATTTAAGGACATCATAATAAGATTTAGAACTTAAAATTTAACTTTCTTAATTAAGAACTCTTCCTTAATGTTGCCACCAAGTTTACCAACATCTATTAACTAACATCGCACAAATTAAAAGTTCTTAGGTTACAACTCCAAATAAACTTAAAACTTAGTCTTAAAAAAAAAAAAACACACACACACACACACACACACAAATATAAAAAAATAAAACTAGGAAAATGGTTCATGGAATCTTGGGCATTCTTCAAGCTAACCAAGGCTGAATGTCGCCTTGCAAGGCCTCGGCGCTTCCTTCGGTTTCTTCAATACCTGGCTTAAAACGCTAGGGCAATGGGAATGCCAATGAACGACGAGCTCAATAAGATACTACAACCCGAAAATACCCACCCCGATAATAATACTCACAAATAATAAATATTGTGGAATAACAGAATAACAAGAAGCATTTAACAAACATAACCGGAATGCTATTGGTTGAAATATTAACAATAGACAATAAAAACAATGGCAAGCGGAAACAGTATTTCATAATAAGGAAAAATGCCAACCTTTCTTTTTAAATTCACATAGATTTAGTTTAACAGGTAAGTTTAAGTAACTCCCCGCGGAGCACTATTTCCACTCAACCGCTAAGCAATGGCCACGGGCAATTCTGACTCCCCCTTGGTCAAATATTCAATTATTACTTACTGTAACTACCAATGATGCCCACACACCAGGGTTACGTACTCGAGTCGTGACATCACGGTCTGCCCAAGGGAACGGTCTATGTTGTGACACCCGTACCACCAACCTTATATCACCTGTACCGATAAGAGCCGAAATACCTTCTCGTGCCATGTTAGGGTTCGCAACTCACTTGCGCAAGATTCTAAACCGGGCTCACCCCATCATTTTTAAATTTTAATGTATCTGTTCAATTCCGTGTCCCTTTACTTTGTCCAATTCACATTTTGATGCATGCACGAGTTTTAGTTTGAAAACTACAGTGACATAATGTTTATATAGCACAACACAATCATGTATGACAACCAAAATAAATATGATAGAATGTCTTAGGAATTATCACAAAATTTCTTAGGAATTCACACGCTTCTTCTTTCAGCACTGTATGGTCAGAAAAAAAGTATGAAACCCATACCAAACGATGTTCAACCATTACGATATTTTAACTGGTACTAGTTCATTGAGTTAGGAAAATATTCCGAGAAGAATACCAGAGCTAAAAAACAATTTTAAAATGGAGAAATAAATTTTGGAAGAAAACTGATTTTTCTGGGACAGTGAGTTACAGTACTTCCAGCACAGGTGATCTGTGTTGGAAAAATAAAAAGCGTCCTCAAACGGTGTCAAAAGGAGGTATGGTTAGAACGGATTGTTAGATACTTGAGTTTAGAACATATTTCCAGAAGGATTCGAAGACTGAAAATCAACGGAAGATGGTCAAATAATTTTTCTAAGAAAACTGGACAGATTCTGTTGCATTTTAGTAAAACTACAATTTCTCCTTTTAGGCTTATCCATTTTTTGTGAAATCAATGGAGAATGAAAGATAACTCTTATATCTAACTATTCCAAGAGGTCGTGCAGAAAAATACCATTTGTAGAGAAAATGGGACCTGTTTGAAACCACTGCTTCTGCTGTGTTGAAAGCGACGCGTAGGGAAAATATTTGTTTCGGTAAGAAAATGGTGTCCAATGATTTTATAAAAAATTTACAAAGTGTATAACACCTATATCTACTTCCAGTATACACATATTTTTAACATCAATTATTTTCAATTTATTAGAGCCCTCTTTTCATCCGATAAAGTCTGAAACAGTGAGGAAGAATCTAAGTTTCAGGTAAAAGGAAGCCATTCTCATATCATTTTACTCTCTTGCAAGATTATTTCAACAATGGAGAATATTGAACACATAAAAACAGTAGCTAAGCCATATATCTATGTTTGTAAGAAGGAATATGAAATTATAACATAATGAAACCCTCATCCTATCAAAATTTTAAACATGCATGGTACTATTCTGCTATATATGACTTAACCATGCTTAGTCTTGATATATAAATTATATAAATTCAGTTAGAGGTATCTAAGGGAGGATAGAGGTGATGTATTCTTACCTCGAGAGTTTTTGCAAACACTTCTCAAAACTAAGTTTGAAATTGGTATTCACCAAGTACCCTCTCTTTCTCTTCTCTTTTCTACTCTCTTTTTCTCCTCTCTTTTACCTTCTTTGCTCAGCTACGTGAATAGTAGAATGGCTAGGTTGAATGTGGGTTCCTTATGTAGGAGTTTGGGGCCCTTCCTTTTATCTTATTTATTTATTTTATTCTTCTTGGCTTGGGAATTGTGATCTACAAGGATAGACTTGTAGGATGTTTCTAAGCATACTTTGGCATGCATTGGCATGCTTTGGCAGTGGCCCCTTGGGAAGAAAACACCCGGATTCCTCTGCCCAAAAATTCTGATTTTTTTTTTTTTTTGTATGTTTAAAATGAAAATCAATGTATATATATATATATATTTCCTAGTCACTAGATGTTTTTCTCCCTACTATCCTCTAACTAACTTGGTAATTATTTATTTAACTCATTTAGTTTTCGACAAGTGTGTTTAGATACAAAAATTTAATCACAAAAGGATAAAAAAAAATTATTTAAAGGAATTTAATATTGGTGTTAATCATGATGCTATTAATATAATAATTTAATAATCACAATTTATTGACTTAATATTATTATTAATAAACTAATTAGTTGTTCAAAAAAATTCAGGTTCTTACACTAAGAACTTTTTGTCAAGCTCTCTAGAAATTGAGTGAATTTCTAGAATATATATATATATATATATATATTCCAGAATTGTTGTTTGTTCTTCATGATTCCCAAAGATATAAAGCACAACAACATTACAAACAATCATTGAGAGCCAATCGACAATTTTCATAAAAACATAGAATTATTGTATCTCTAATTGCACACACAGATGCAGATGATAAGACTGAACAATAAAACAAAGAATCTGAGGCAACATTAAGATTTATCAACACAATACATCAAAATGTATACAAATGCATCACATATGCGACCTATATACGCATACATATTTATATATATATATAGAGAGAGAGAGAGAGTGTGTGTGTGTGTAGAGAGAGACCTGAGCGAATCTTCATCCAATCAATCCTAGAAACTGCCAAAGAAAATCAAATATGAGGCTCAGAATCAGAATTGAACTCCAAGCTCGAAAGATATCAGTGGTGATTGAAGGAACAACGGCTAGTGGTGGTCGGTGGTGGGGCTCGTGTGTTTGTGTGAGACGCAGATGAAGAGAAAAGAAAGAGAAGAAGAAGAAGAAGAAGAGGAGAGAGAGAAAGAGAGAGAACTGAATAGGGGTTAAGGTAAGTGAGAATGCAAAGCAAAACTGTGCGACTTAACAATATTAATTAAAAAAAAATATCTGGCAGGTAAAGAATGTGTAACTTTAACAATATTAATAAACAAAAAAAATGGAGTAGAAAATTCTAGACAAAATGATTTTAAGTATAAGTTTAAAAGTTATTTTTGTATTAACAAAATATAGATTATAAGTAGAATATCTAGTTTATTAGGGGAAAAAATTAAAAAAAAAAAGTTGTCATATACTGTGCATAAACAATGTTCGTGGTGAATCAATTACAATTTCTTTTACAAAACTATACTATGTCAAGCTTTATA